CTTCACAACCCATCTGCAGCCTTTCTGTGTGGAGTTTGCATGTTTTTCCCATACCTGTATGGGTTTACTCCAAGTACTCTGTTTCCTCCCACAGACCTAAAACATGTGTGTGTGAGTGAGAGTGTGACTGGTTGTCTGGTTTGTTTGTTCCTATGGGATGGGTTCAGGGTGTATCTTCCTCTCGTCTTATGACTGCTGGGAATAGGCACCAGCTCCCCATGACCCTGCACAGAAAAGCAGGTAAAGAATATAGATGGATGACTGGTTTACATGAATGTATTTTTTCTTTAAGTTCTAAAATTTAGTTTAAATAGCAGAGACCATAGAATATACAGGTATATGTACTGCTTTCTTATAAACGGGTTATGAGGTTTCTCAGGCAGGTCATTAAACTGAATTAAAGGACATAAATCAAAACATTGTGAAATGTTAAGCATCAAAGTAGCTACTAATTGTTTGCAAAATGCAACTTTTAGGGTCAGTTTTAGAAAAATGGCCCATATACATATATACATTTTTATTTTTGCATTTTAGCTTGATGATATTAATCATCAAATTTTAAATTCAATACAGTCCCAGTCTTAGTGCAGTCCTATTGCTATTAAATGCTCATCTAGCACATTACCCTTCTGTTTACAGTGATATATATACAGTAGATTATAAAACAGTTAGACAGTCATAGGCTTGGATTGAACTTTGACCTTGTATAAACAATAGACTGGAGCAGTTTTTACACCTAAAAGCCTCTCTACCCAAATCAGAACATTAGTTAATACATAAATAATAATTATAATTTAAAAAAAAATTACATAAGTTTGATAATAAAGCATAAAGTATGACAAGAATGCACAAATTCAACATGGAGCACAGGAATCCAAAGCAAGTTTTAGTGATGCTGACAGAGAATATTCAACTCAGCTTTAGTTTGATTTTGACACGTCTTTCTTGCATAACCTTCAGACTTTGGGTCATAATAATCCCTGAAGAGCCTTCCAGTGTGTAAGTCTTTGGCTCACCACAAAGGTCGATATATTCAAGTTGTCACCCCTTCCACTGTGCTCTAATACACAGAAGCAAAGCTAGCACCACCTTTATTGAGATTAGCTTCCAACATGTTTCATATTGCTGGCCACTACACTTTAGTGGCTTTTTGAAAGAAGGAAGTTGCTCTGTATTTTTTAGTGTGTGACTGCAGACCTTCACACCTCCATCTTCTCTTACATCCTCAAACATCTGAGCCACATCATTGATCATTTCACCTACAATTTAAAGTTCAAGTACACTAATTCATGTTGTGGAAGTTCTCTTTATCTGATCCTTCAAGTTATTTTAGAGAGACAGCATGTATTTTAAATGCTTGTGCTTTGCAAAGATAAAAGAAGCCATTGTCAAGAATAAATAGTTCTGTTTCACGTCTCAGATTCTCACATTCCTGAGTTATGTTATGGTTGCAAATCTTTGCATACTTCCTAACACAACTTCTTTCTCACACATTTTGAGCACAGAAGCCACCACAACTGACTGCTGTCGTACATGCAAAGAGCTGCAGCTGGAGGACAGAAATAAAAGAGCTATCAAGCAAATTATATGACATGATGAGTCATCACTGCTGATGTATGTACTGTAGCCACATCACGGACAAAGACAGGCAACAGGAAACTTGTTGACCTGCAGGATATTTCTTCTTATTGTGACAATCTTTAACACTTGTCAAAGCCTTCAAACTGTCTAAAGACACCAGTGTGGAGACAAGTAGCTTCCCAGGAACATAGAATAAACAAAATGCCTTTATACTTCCTGGATTTGTGAAAATACGTCAAGAACAAAAGAGTGCTGACTGCAGGGTAATCATCCCGCTACAGTACATACACATGCACATAAATAAAAGATTGCAGTCTGCAGGCAGCCGCAGTGCTGAATGGACCTTAATGTGAAGTAATTCAAACCAGTCTCCTGCAGGTCTGCTTAGAGTGCACTTCAAGACCCAATCTGCCACAAATGAAACGAGGGGAAATGTGAGCCAGTCGTTCTCACCTCTAGTTAACCTTGTGCATGCACACTTTTTTTTTCTATGTGTGTGTGTGCGTTTCCCATTTGTCTGCCTCCTTTCTATATTTGTCTGTGGCTGTTTGTTCAGTCATCACTCTATTAAACAAGCTATTTTGACATGGTTATCAGCTTTTATCCCTCACACCATTTCAGCTGAAGTGGGATGATGCATTTCCACATCTTGTTCTGCTGTAGAGGACTGATTAGACTAATGGAGCCGGTGTGAATAAAGGGATCATCTTTTTGGATCTTCTTGTGTTGCCATTTCAGTGCACACATTAAAACAGACGTGATAATCAGTGTCTGTGTGTATTTGTTAAAAAAATGATTGTTTAAAAAGAGGTTTTGTGCACGCCGATTGAAAGTTTCAAATTTGGATCAGATGATAAAATAAGCTTTTGAATTGGCCTTTGAAGATTCTCAGTCATTTAGATGATGTAATTGAGCTAGTTGAACATTCTTTTAGATCTTAAGGATGGTTTGCCTCTCTGTTGGTAAGGATAACAAAAAATATCCTAGAAATATCAAAGTATCAGCAAGCTACATACTTCAACTGATTTGCCTGTTTAAAGTAGAATTCCTGTAAGGAATACACATCACCTGCTGCCTTGTATATCAAAGGTTTTAAACAAAAAATCATGCAATCTCTTATTTAAGTGTTTATAAAATTGACTGTTATAGCTTTTTATGTTTGCGCAAAGGTAGGTTTGCTTTGGTGCTCATCTTCAATCAGGTTGACTCCAAAAGGTAATCAGCTGTTTATCTGCAATTCCTTTCTGACAGTTTCAATAACATCTCTCCAGTGGTTCATCAGATATTTTGCTAACAGACATGCACAGTCACACCCATATGGTTGCACTCCACCATGAATGATTGGTGTTAGCCCTTTTAAATACAATTTGCAGTAGTTACTTTTGGGGAATCCTGCATGCACCACCCTGCTGGGTTTTTTTTATCAATGTATCGTTTGAGTATGTTTACAAGTAAGCAATCTGCAACTACTTGGTGCTTATGTGCAGTGATGCTGCTGAGAATTAAATAAAAAAATAATGAAGTGTTTTGTTGAATGAAATGCAAAGCGGGGGGGAAAAAAAAAGTCAATAAAAAGCTAGACACATGCATTTTATCTTAAAGCATTCTTTGCACAGAGAGTTGTTGTTAATGGTTATTGCCAGGGCCAGAAATAAACTGTTCTTTACTGCAGCAGAGCCTCTGACTGAAAACACTCTGTTGTTTCATCACTTTGTTGTGCAGAGGAGTGTAAGAATGTTATCCATTATGTTTAGCAACTTATGCAACTTTTTTTTCTCATCTCCTAAAAAGTCTTAAGTGCAGAGCCAGCCTTTTTTTCATCAGTATGTTTTGGGTAGAGTTAGGGCAGCCGGTATCATAGTGATGGTTGTCAAATGAAGTCATGTCATATTATCATCATCTTCACATCACTCCCTGATAAGTGCACCTATATTTAAAAAGCCTAGCATTCCTTGAAGGAACGCATACTGCCTACCTCCGTTCATGTCAGAGTTTTAGCCTGAGATCATCTTAAGTTGAGAACTGACAAGGTTGTAGTCATTTTGCTCAAACTTGACCATAATGAGTTAATGAGTTGCTGTACACCCAATGTTTACTTTCTGAGTTGTTTTGCTATCCAACGTTACAGTTTTGGGCAAAAATTCGGTGCAATGCACAGTGCTTAAAGTATGTGTTTGGGATAATCCTCAGCCACTACCTCAACAAAGTTTAGCTCAGTATCTGTAAAAATGTCTGTGCTGTAATCATTTCTGAGTTACTTAGTATCTGTTGGCTGTTGGCCATCTTGAACTGGAGTTTTATTCAACTCTGTTCAGTAGAACATGATATATTTAGCTAATAAACAGACAAAGTTGACTCCAATAGCTGTTGGCAAAACATTTATCATGGATCTTGCACAACCAATTAGAGCTTGTAGGTTTGGTTTGATTTTCAGAATCAAAATCAGTCTTTATTGTCATTGCACTAAAGTACAGAAAAATTTAATTTCAGTACAGCCCGTCCAAAGAAACACAAACAACCAAACAACATAGACGTGGGAAGACGGGGAGTCTGAGGCTGCAGCCTCATGAGAGGTGCTGCCTTTTTTTTTTTGTTAGATAAGGAAAAGGGAACACGAGGGAAAGAATAGGTAAAAAAAAAAAATAATAATATCTCACACTGTATCCCTAACAGGACAAAGTGTGTGGTTGCAAAAAACCTCAGCACAAAAAAACAACATACAGATGACACAGTAAGATGCATGTGCAGTGGGTGAGGGTTAAGTAGAAGGGAGTGTGTGGCTCCCAGCACAGGCCGCCCAGGAGAGTGTCGCAGCCACCTGGCGTCTTGCATCCAACCTAGGTTACCACACCGGGGGAGGGCAAAAGGATGGAGGCCAGTGAAGGCGGTGGGTTGAGGGGAGTGTGAGCTGTGTGAATGAGTGTACACATGCTTGCGTTTGTAAGTAAGTCTGTGAACACTGTTTCAGACAGGTCCATAGATGTCCTTGGTGAAGGGAACAGTTAGTGGGGGCAGAGCATCTTGTTCACATAACATCCAGGAGAATTTGTGATAGTCGGCTTCCAAGACCGACACGGGGGAGCCAGATTCAGATAAGTTGTTTTGGGTCAAGCCGACTTAGTTGATTTTTGTCTGCCTTACAGTTCCACTGGTACATCGCAATGGCGACTCCAAACAGCCATATTTTATGGTCAGTGCCTCCGAGCTGAGCTTGTAACATCTCTGAGGTCAATTCTTTCCCGCCAGCGAGATTCAGGAGCCGCAAGCGTCCTGCGATTCTCAGCAGAAATCGTGTCCAGCTTATGGCTCAACTCACACAGCATTTGAGTCTGAGTGTTCACAGCACGGCACATTCCTTCACGCAGGCCAGGCAGCTTTACAACTGCCAAAACAGCTACCGACTTTTTTCAAACTTGTTGATATTTAGCATAATTTAGCTTTTAGCATCATTTTGCCAATGCTATAGACAAACACAAACATAAACATTACCAGTCAGATATAAAATGTGTGCTTGCTTTCTTTTCCAGCATCGACAAGCCCAAAGCTCTGTCCCTGCTTCTGCACACAGCAGACATCAGCCATCCGGCCAAAAGTTGGGACCTCCACCACCGCTGGACCACCTCCTTGCTTGAGGAGTTCTTCAGACAGGTGGGTGGGTTCACCTGATGCTTTTGGTTCAAATGCATGTAGAGACAACATGGTTCTTCCAATGACCACACAATAAAGATGTATTATACATTACACTTCCACATTGTTTGTCTTCTCTTATTGTGAAATAATGTCTGTAGAAAAGTAAAACATGCAAGTCAGGCAATTTGTCAAAAACAAACGACAGGCACCAAAATTCAAGTCTGCAATGTCCTTTTTAATAACACAATAAATGTGCGTATAAATAATAGATTGTGTATTTTTGTCATCATGAGCGACATAGGCATAAATGTTGCCACAGTGCTGTCATGCCTTTCATTATTAATCCTCATTGTTCTCATTATCAGTGCCATTGTCATTGTGGCGGTTTTCACAAGGCCTGCGTCTCTCGGGATGTGAATCGCCAGTAAATAGCTTCTCCAAACAATATTGCCTCTCGTCTTCCCATCTCATCTGTTTGAGACAAATAGGAGAAGAAAATGAAAAACAATTTCGGACTTTGGGCAGGACCCAGACAAATCAAAAAGTCTGATGACTTGCGTGTACGCCTGCAGGGTGTGGTGCATTTCTTAGAACCCAGACCAAAGGTTTGTGACCGTGGAAATTGATGTGTTTCCAGGGGGACAAAGAAGCTGATCTCGGACTGCCGTTCTCTCCACTCTGCGACAGAAAGTCCACATTGGTTGCACAGTCCCAAATAGGTGGGTGGCTTTTTTTTTTATATCACTTATTGATTTTACACCAATTCCAAAAGTTTTTACTCCATTGAGGCTTTTTAAGGTATACATTTCGCAAGTGGAAGAAATTTACAAGAAAGGTGGTCACAACGGGTGTGCAATTATGCAAAGCACCTCCAGAGCTTTTTCTCACTGAGAATAATGCCAGATTTTTTTACATTCACCACTGTAGCATATTACCAGTACATCTGTTGATATTTTTGTTCTGCTTCTCTTTCTAGTATGCATTGCATGTTTTTGAAATATGAATATTGACACAATTTCATTATTATTGCCTTTTCTTTGTCACCAGGTTTTATAGACTTCATCGTGGTGCCGACCTTCACCGTGCTCACAGACATGATGGAGCGTATCGTCACACCACTCATTGATGAGGCCACCCACTCCGGTCTCTCTAGCTTTAGACGTTCAAGGTAAACATTGGAAGAACATATGAGTAAAAAATAATGATGATAATGATAACAGCAAAGCTGAGCATATGGCTGTACATAACTATATAAATAAGAATAAACTTAAATCAGCCAACCTGGTTGAGCAGGCATGGAAACTCCTATTTTCAAACCTCGAGAGGTGAAGTTGCACAATCATTGACACGGCTGAACCACAACAGCTCCTTTACAACAACACCATGTCTAATGGTTGAGAAGAGCAGATGAATCTTCCATGAGTAATCCATTTAAATGTGTGGACATGTCTCCACCCTTCATTTGGCAGAGCCACACACCTTGAAATTGACACTTTAGAAACACGAGTCAAGCTCAGCCTACCGTCCGTGATCGAAACTGGCACTTAGAGTTGTACTGGAATACACAATTCTCAGTGAGATTCAAAAGGGTGTATTTATTTCTGAGTTTAAAAAAAAAAAAAAATCCTAAAAGTCGGGTGTTTTACTTTCTGATTACTGACAATGTTGAAAACAGCTTTAGATCATTAGCCTCAGAGCAGCAAGCAAGCCTGTAGAGTAGGTGCTTTCTCATGTTTGGGGTCCTTCTCCTTTCTCATGTTTTAATCGTTTCAGTTTGAACAGTATTAGCTCGGATGAAACCAAGAGGCACAGTGTCAAGAGCATGGGCTCCGACAGCAGCTCCTCCGGCCAAAGCTCTCTCCTGTCAGTGGACATGAAGACCTTCAAGACCCTGTGGAACGAGGAGGTCTACCAGAACAGAGAGCGATGGAAAACCCAGGCTGCTAAAGGTACAGTAATACAAAGACAGTCAAGGTTTAAGGTTTACAGTCAACGCTGTTAGTTTTGTTTTGTTAATTACTTTTTCAGAGTGTATTAGCTTCCATCAGACAGGCATTTTTCACAAACTGCATGATAATTGTGCTTAATCATTTAAGGATTTAGTTCACAAGTTTGTGAAGGCCAAACACTGAGCTAAAAGGTACTGAAATGAACAAAAGAGAAGTGTGAGTGAATGTCGCCTTCCTTCTGAAACTGATAGATGAGTTAAAAGCAATTAAGTTAGCTCAGGGGTGTGCAACCTTTACGATCAAAAGAGCCATTTTTGCACCTTCGCTCACTAAATTAAACGTGCTTGGGGCCGTAAAGCCAGCTACAACTGTGGTTATCAACTGGTCATGGGCCACTTTAGGTTTGTTGGAGGGGGTTTTTCTGGCATTAAAAAACTAAAAATATCTAATGGTTTTTAACATTTATTGATATGTTTATAATTTAAGACAAAATAATACACCAAAAGAGAAAAATACATTTTTTTTTACTTTAAAAAAAAAAAAAAAAAAAAACTGAGCTATGCAGACCTATGCTTTTTTTTTTTTTTTTTTATTGTGGAAAAATTAAGTATCCTGCTTTGAATAAAGTATAAAGGTAAAGTGAGTATGTTTTATATTAGTTCTAGGATCAACATATTTGCAAAAGAAATGACAGGAAATCTGCTAAAACTAACTATTTTTGTGTTGTTGATATAACAACTTATAAAATGTAGTTTTATGTTTGTTTTGGACAAAGCTTGAAAGAGTCCATGCAGAGACACCAAAGAGCCGAATGTGGCTGAAGAGCTGCAGGTTGCAGATCCCTGTGTTAGCTGATCATTAAAACTCAGACAACAGTAGACAGTCAGTCAGTTAAGTCATGATAATTCTTGTGCTTCAAAAAGAAAATCAGATCTTCTTGTTTTTGAAGACAGCACGTTTCCTCAGCTGTCAAAAAAGGCCTTACCCATTTTAATAAATAAATACAATAAGTTTACAGTATGTTGTGGCTGCCATCTACTGGTCAAAGTAGTTAGTATAATTATTAAACTATTATGCATAAAGACAGACTCTCACTTTCTAAATAGTTTCAATGCTTTATGTGACCTCAGAGGCAGAGGAGAGAGCTAAAAAGGAAGCAGAGGAACAAGCTCAGCAGGGGGAGGCTTTGGAGCCTCAGGGGGTTCAAACAGAATCTGAAAACCCCGAACAGAAGGAGAACGAACTGGACAGGGAGGTGCCCGAGTCAGCAGAGGTCAGCACACCACCAGATGGTGACACTGGGGAACCAGAGGAGGCAGCATCGCCTGGGGGCAGCACGCAGAACAAGTCCCCACTGCAGAACGGTACTTCTTTCTACACAGTCATACTTCAGACGCAAAATTTAAAGCCTTTTATGTTTTTGTAAATTTTGCCTTCACTTGAAAAGGACGTAAAAACAGTCAAAATGTTGCTTTAATAAATTATTTTCATCCAGTTCTTGCACATTTTTTTGCTGCTTGATCAACCTATAAACTAACTGCAACAGTAATTCTGAAGTCCTTTTAGTGAAGACGGTGTCCCTTTTCTCAGACGTGCCTTTTTTTTTTTCAAAACAGAAAATTTAAGGCTACTGTGAACTTCAGGGCCCCATCATCATCCTCACCTTTGCTGAAACTATCAGTCACACATTTGCTTCAGCTTGAGCCGTATCTCCCTAAGAAATTGTGAAATAGTAATTTGAGGATTGCAAATTCTTCTCAAATGACATGATATTGACCTCACATCGAAGGCTTCTTTTCTCAACATCTCCACATTGTCAGAAACATGACTATATGGCTGAAAGTGTGCCTGTAAGGAATGTGTGGGTGTGATTGTGTGCAACTTCTTTTATTTGTACAATGTGTGGGTGTAACTTTATGCATCCGACTTGTTTTTTTAAATCAAGTACAACAGTGCAAAACTTGTTCTGCAATGGCACATTCGTTCATTCTTATATTAAAGTTAATGGTTCTACAGTAAATCTATATATGAACCTGAATGCTTTATTCACAGTGTTTGCATTTTTTGTTATTCAACATAGTAAGTCAGTATAAAAAAAATAAAATTTGTTCTTGTTTTTTTAGGAGAGTTGTCAGAAGGGGTTGATTCTCCAGACACTGAAAAAAACAAGAACAAAGGAATGAGAGGTGAGTTGACGCTACTCACAGAAAATCCAACTGGAGTGTCTCTCTCGTAGCTTAAATATTAAATAAAATAGAGAAATGGCATTTCCTGCGAAAATGCAGTGTGAATGTTTATTGCTGAAAAACTTGCTGAAAAACAGCTTAAATTAGCTATAAACATGCTGAAATGTAGCTGAAATTAAAGAGCCAAGCCTAAGTTAGCAGAAGAAAGCAGAAAGAACGCTTATTTACTGTATTTGGTTTAAATAAGAAGAAATGAGCACAAAATTTAGTAAATTTGGCTAAATAGCCGAAAAGCTGAAAAGGCAGAAAGAAACTTAAATTACCAGATGGAAGTGGAGAGAGAGCACAGTTGTGCCCAATTAGGTTTAAAGAAGCAGAAATGAGCAAAACAAAGTGAAAATTATCTGAAAAAAAGCAGAAATTTGAGAAAGAAAAAAAATATAGCTGAATAGTAGCTAAAAAAAAAAATCAAAAATAAATTTAAATTACCAGAAGGAAGTGGAGATTATAACTGTGCCCAATTAGGCTGAAAAAAGTTTAAATTAGTGCAAGAAATGTGTAGTTAGCTGAAAAAGCTGAAATTAGCATAACACTGCTAAATAGTAGCTGAAATAGCAGGAAAAGCTGAAACTTTCTGAAATAAGCTGAAAAGAGCATAACAAGCTGATATTAGCAGACAAAAGTTAGAAGAAGCACAAAAATGTTGTAGTTAGCAGAACAAATATGAAAGAATCACAAAACAGCTGAAAAAAGCTGACATTAGCTGATTTTTTTTTTTTAAATTTGCACAAGGAAGCCGAAAGAAGCTGAACCAGAACAAACTGTGAAATGAGCAGTAAAAAATTGTAAACGGATCTAAAGAGTTGAAGGATATAAACTGAGCTCAATTAATTTTCTATGAGGCAGAAAAGGCTAAGTAGTTCAAAAAGCTAAAGTTGCACCAATACCAAAAGTCATAGCAGGATTGTCCTGAACGAGCTGAACGTTTTGATTTATGATTTCTTGAAATAGTTTGAAAACTGCGGGACGAGAAACGTGCTGAAAACATGGATCACAACAGTGTGAATGCTTCATAAACATTCACACAATAAACATGTTTTTCTGTGCTGACATCTTCTTGACTAAGAGACGTGCTAAAAATCCAGAAATATCTTGTAGGTCATTTCAGGGAAATACTGTAGCTACACACAGATAATCCCTTTAGCTGTGTATTCTCATGAATTCGTACTTTTCATGTCCTGTTTCTCCAAATTAGAGGAAGTGATGGAATAGCAGAGCGGAGGATGCTGATGACCTCACTGTTACTGTGCTGCTGTCGACCTGAACCTGTCTAAACGTGGAGAACTTCTCTGAGAGTGGCGGCCATATTATTGGACTGTGTTGCCATCTACAGGCTACTCAAAAACTGGCACCTTTTCTTCCATTGGTCCTTACGGTCTCTCTCCATACATTTATTTTTCTTGTACCATGTCTGTCACACTTTTTACATGTATGCAGAGTCATGTGCATTATTCCTTTCTCTCCTGCTTAATTATAAAGTCTATGAAGAAGATGTAATTACCTTAAAATGACACCATGGGGATGAAGGAGTAGTCGTTAGCAAACTGCTATTTTTATTGCATTAGTTTGCCTTTTAAATATTTAATTTTTGTTGTATTTTTAACCTAACCACTTACATGTAGCAGTTTTAAAAGTCCCATTCCCACTCACTGCAGCATCTCATAATAGTTCAAATGTGATTTATTTACTTTTTTGTTTGTGTTTTAGTACCTTTTTTGGCTAAATGATGCATAAATCAAGAGATGTGTGCAATGCAGAAGAAATGTACATTCAAATGGACTTTTACAACAGCTATATAGTGTGTACAATACATGTATGTACAGTACATTTGGATTATAGTCATAGATCTTCAGGACTAATATTTTTAGCAAGTACTCTAATGTAGAAAACTTTGTCCTGTGCTTCTAGTTTTTGATGAAGCTACATTTCTTTTTTTTACATTTGTGACGTGTTTACATTCTCATTGCTTTCCTTAAGCGTTGTGCAATTTCAGTGCATCTGTGTTCCTTGCAGCCAGGTGCAAATAGTTCTCTTTGAAGGTTTTTTGGTCCTACCTAATGTATATAATGAATGTTTGTACATGTATGGGTCAGAGATGGAGCACAAGTCCATGCCCCTGTCCAGAACAGAAAAATATTTTTGGGATGTAATGTAAGATAAATGTTTAGAAATGTCCAAAAATTAGAAAGCAGCTTTTTTGCAACTTGAACATATCACACACGCCAATGCATTCACGTTTTTGTAAATATAAAACATTTTTGTTTATCTTTTTGAAGAATCGTTCGTTTTGCATTCGTTACTATTTATGCACTACACGTGTCACTCTGTTCGTCTTCTTCTTGATGCCTTCTAACGTGTCTTTAAGCTGTAGCAGAAAATCAGCATTGTTGCTCAGTTAGAGGAGTTTTTTTGTTTGCGGTCGCAGCAGCTTCACCTTCTTGGTCGCTGGTGTAATTTTGAACCAACTTGTTTACAACGTGCTCGTAAACTTTTTAACCAGCTCAACTTTTTGTGCTTCTGTGATGCATTTAAGGCTGTGAGTCCAAAGTGTACCCGCTTCTTGGTTATTTGCCAAGTTTTTAAGACTTGTAATGTGTATAGATGATGTAATCAATGCTCTTTTATTTTTAATTTTTTTGCATATATACCATATTGCACCAAATATTGGTTCAGCTTTATGTACTATGTGTAAATCAAAGGAAGGAAAAGAAGCATTTTGGCAGTATTTGCGTAATGATGGGATATTATTTTTCTTTAAACCTTACATTTGTATGCGTTTTTTTTTTTTTTTTTTGTATGAAAGTCCATTTATTGTGCCAAGATTAAGCACTTGGGGAATTCAAAACATATTTTTGAAGTACACTATGTTCAGCTAAATGCCACATATGGTGACATTTAAAGTGTTTAGCAGACTAAACTCATAAAATTGATAGAAAATTGTGGGAAATTATTTTATAGCCACTTTGTTTTCATAAAATCATCTTTTTTAATTCTAACTGGAACATGATGGGTTATAGCATTTTCTCATGCACTGAAACAACACGCTACTTTCTACCTAAACGACGCAGTCAGTGGTTAGCAAGCCAGCTGGCTGAATGTGTGCCTCTATCTGTACTTCCCATGTCCCACCTTCCACCTGTAAGACGTTTAGTGATGTCGGTCAAACGTAACTCTCCAAGAGATTCTCCGTTTTTGAAGTCGGTCCTTTCACATGGTAGAATATTGTTTGTTTTTTTTTTAAGTAGATTTGATTGTATTTTTAGCTTATTTTCATTTAAAGAAGTCTATTTTCTAGCTGCTCCGTGCCGTTTGTTGCGTTTGTTTTGTTAATTTGCTCCTTTTCTTTTTCTTTTGACTCCCTTCTGTGGGACTGTTTTTTTTTTCCTCCACCAGCTCTGCAATCAGAAAGTGGTTCAAAACTGTAAATATAACTTGCAAGAAACTTTAAATGTTCCAAGTTGAAACCAGAATTGTAATAGGCTGCCTGGCACTTGGGGAAGCAGAGTCTATTTTCTGTACCGACAGACCAACACATGTACAGTCTTGTAGTTTGCTACACTTGCTTCTGTGGTAGCTGCTATCTGAACATTTACCAGGACTTTATACCGACCACGATAGGAAACATAGCTGTATTACTGATTTTTAATTATGGTGTACCGTTATGTCTATTTAATGCTTTGTTTCCTTGTTTAGTTTGAATCTCTCTGTCATGATCTTAACTGTCCTGGTGACTAAGAGAAAATGGATGTCACGTGTGTGTGTGTGTGTGTGTGTGTGTGTGTGTGTGTGTGTGTGTGTGAGTGTTGCAACAAAAAAAAACTTTATGTGCATTTCCGATCTCCTCACTGTGACCTGTGTATTGATGAGTAAGGTGTGCGTTTGTGAAAGAAAGCAAAAGGAGATGCAGTGGACTGCATGAGGCTGGCTGAACAACTCAAATTAGATCCATTTGTAGTTTATATTAAAACGTCCCATCAAGCTGACATGTTTGCTTTCATGAAAACTGTAGCAGACATTCAGTATTAAACAGGTAGAGTAAAAACATCTAAACATTTTAAAACCAATGAATGAAAGTATGTTTCAGCTAGTAATCAATGTCCAGTACATCTCTGAGAGTACAGAATGCCTGGTAGTGAATGTGTGTGTGTGTGTGTGTGTGTGTGTGTGTGTGTGTGTGTGTGTGTGTGTGTGTGTGTGTGTGTGTGTGTGTGTGTGTGTGTGTGTGTGTGTGTGTGTGTGTGTGAGTGTGTGTCGCTGTCCCATGCTGGCCAGGCGGCCGTGTGTGCCACCATGCTCTGTGACTGCACAGTCGTATCAATAAATCTGAACTCAAAGGGCTCAGATCACGTGTGTCTGTCTTTATTTCAGCCGAGCCACATTTTAAAGAAACAGTTTGTTGACTTCAGATGAAAAAAGTTGAGTCTCGCATGCTTTCAGAGCCTGAATTATTTTAAGTTCTGTTTATCGTTCACATCTATGCATTCTCTTACATTAGTAAGATTATCCTATGTACATTTATTTATTTATTATTATTATTAAGTTACTTAAATTTACTGTTCAAACTAGTTTCAGTCACTTCTGGCTGTTTCTGTAGGTGATCAAACACTTAGACGCTTTTAATTTAGGGACACATTAACCCTCAGTGTCAGAATATATATATATTGTGCAGATTAGGTGTTTTACGTTACAGATTTGTTCATCCTTTCTTGGTGTTATTTTTGATCAGGACGTCTTTTATGCCCCACATTAAAAACGTTACTTGAACCACCTTCTTCCACCTGCGTAATATCACTAAAATTAGAAACAGCTGATCTAAAAATGATGCAGAAAAACTGGTTCATGCATTTGTCACATCTAGACTGGACTATTGCAATGGTTTATCTGTGTCCAAATACGTCTTTAAAAAGTCTTCGGTTGATCCAAAATGCTGCTGCCAGAGTCTTAACTGGAGTTAGTGGGAGAGATCATATCTCTCCAGTTTTAGCTTCTCTCCATTGGCTCCCTGTCAAATCCAGAATTGAATTCAAAATCTTACTTCTAACCTACAAAG